TTTCACCTTTTGAGTTGCCTTACTGACATAAATGAACATTTGCACGATATTCTAATTTTTCGAGTTTCACCTGTATGTTAAAACGCTGTATTGATATATATTTACAACACATCAATTTCTATTGTTACTGTCATTGTATTTCTATTAACAAGATAGAGAAAGTATTTCTATCATTGATTCCCACACATGGGTGAAGATTATTTATTTATTATTCAAATTTATATAGCCACCCTTCTCAATGGATAGTTCCCAAGCAATTAAAATGTATAAAAACACAAAAACAATACAATTTAAAAACAATATTAAAAAACCGCCATAAAAACACACATAACAAAATTCATAGTTGAGGTAGTCAACATCCATTGATAACAATCAATACAGCAAACAGCACAGGCTCTAATAATCATAGACGGTAATCTCTTCTACCCTTAGTCTTAAGGAGAGAGCACAGAAGGCTAAATAGGCAGACAAATAAAACAATGCAGGTAGGCAGACAACAGTAATTAGGTACAGAAATAGAAATATATCCTTTGGTCAATCTGGGTATGGACAAAAATATCACTTCAGACTGCAGATATTATTTCTTCAATGCTGCCCTGCTGTCAGAAATAGATTCATTTACTACTTTATTCTATGTGTAGCTAATAATCTTTAATATGTGCCTTTATAGACCATTCAATTCTTTACAGCAAACAAAAAGGAAGAAAGAGTTGCTATATTATTTTTGAGTGTAACAATTCAGAAAAATGAAATATTATTCAAGATATTATCCATTTTCCTAAATTTACTGCATTGCCAGATATGTGAGTAGAGATGTAGAATTTCTAGAATTTTAATATACTTCTTTGTTTCTTGAATTGGTATATTTCCAAACATATACTAATTTATTTCACAACTGTTTTCTGTATTGTTTATAAATAAAATACTAGGATATATTTCATGACTCATTTTCATTTCTGGGAAAAAAACAAAAACAGCCACAGGAAAAAAATGGAAAGTCTAAATTTCTTTCCAAATTTCTCAGCATGTTTTAAAACCTTTACATCTCTTCTTGTGAGCAGTTTTTCCCGTATTCATAACAAAACATTTTAGTAAGCTAAACAAGAAATTATACTTCAAACATAAACATTTGAGAATCCTATTACCTTGTCTTTTGATTGTCCTTGCCGAGCTATAGCATCGTATTTTATTTTTCCTTCTGCATCCACCTGAACAGCTAATGCATTGGACATTTTCTTTTTTCTGCCCATATCCAGAGGATATTGGGCAACATGGATTTCTGGGAAAGCACCTCCCTCTCCAAAATCCTATATAGAAATAAAAATGGATGTGATTAGACTGTGGACAAGAGAAGAAAATAAAGTAATTAATGGTTGAAGATTCATTAAAAAATAAGAAGATCAAAGATCTCAAGTTTTGGCATACTTTTTGGCTTTCTATGTATCAGTCTTATCCAACACAAAATGTTTCTGAAAGCTGTTTTAGTTTCAAAACTGATTTTCCATTGGTATGTAGAAGGTTTTTTCCTCCAAAAATTGTATGTTTAGATAGGAATTAATTGTGTAGCTATGTTATATCCTATGCTATAATCCTAAACATATTTATTAATCATGTATATACTTTTGAGACATGCTTAGCAACAAATTCAGGTATTTTACATGCAAACTGATTATCTATTCCCTTTTAAGTTGTCACACAAACCTTAGACAAAAAGACCGGTCTGCATATTTTCCTCAATGTCTAGCAAACCACAATTCACATATTTACAACTATAATTGAATTCCAAGATTTCATTAAAAACCAATATACTATGTGACTTAAAATAACACTAATTCATATGAGAGAGCTAGTTTGGTGTAGTAGCTAAGGCATCAGGCTACAAACTGTGAGTTCTAGTCCTGCCTTAGGTACAAAGCCGCTGGGTGACCTTGGATCAGTCACTCTCCTTCAGCTTTAGGAAGGAGGCAATGGCAAACCACTTCTGAAATCTTGCCAAGAAAACTGCAGGGACTTGTCCAAGCAGTT